AAACAGATTCATCCATTTGATATTTAAAGGCCTTCACAAACCACCTCCAAGCTGTCTTTCCAAACTGAGTTCACACTACTACTAAATATAATATCCTCTTCCTCTGTCTCTCCCCCCACTTCTCTCTCTCTCTCTCTCTCTCTCTCACTCTCTCTCTCTTACTCTCTCTCTCTCTCTCTCTTCCCCCTTCTCCTCTCCTCTCCATCCCCTGACTGGCCCAAGCCAGGCAGAAGAAGGCTCCGATTACCAGGTCAAGGAATCTGAGGAGACCGAGTAAAGAAAGGCCTTTGCTCTTGGGAGGATCTAGTGAAACCAGTCCAGTAAAGAGATAGGAGCCTGGCCAGAAGGCAGAGGAGGAAGGGGAGGAAGGGGAGGCTGGATGAAGGAGTCCAGGAAGGGTCACAGCACCCCCCCCACAGGATGTTGCCCCTCTGTGCCCACACACTGGCCCCCATTCCCAGTGAAGCCCACACAGGAGGGCAAGCTTGGTATAATAAACAGCACAAGGCTGGACGTGGCATCAGGGAGACATGGGTTTGAATCTGGCCTCACCTCTCAGACGCTCGGCTTCCTCATGTGGAAGCTGGGTCTGATGAGGCACAAGGCAGCTGCTGTTCAGTTTGGGACACGCACCCAGGACTTTATCAGTGTGGGAAACTCCTGGGCAGCAAGCTCCCTCCACAGACACTGATGAGCAGCCCCTGGGCCACAGACAGTCCTAGAAAGGAGCCTGGGGCAAAGAAAGGTAAAGGGACTTCTCCAGGGTCACAAAGCCAGAGAGGTTAGAGGAAGGCCTGGACATCTGCAGGCCAGCCCTCCAGGTACTGCTGCGGCCTCTCTTATTCAGTTATGTTAAGGAGGAAATCCCCTCCCACTCCCAGACTCTGACCCCGAGCTGAGGCCTCGACAGGAGCTGGGGCTGACAGCTTCCTCATCTATAAAACAGCAGCCCTGGACCACTGACCTGGCCAGAGGAGCCTGTCTTCCTAAGAGTATCTGACAAAGAGTACCTCCAGGAAAAAGAGGCCTCAGAAAAAAGGACTTTGGAAGCTTCAGAAAACCTCAAGATTACAGTCAACACGGCCAAGTTTGCTTTGGAACATACTTACTATTTAGATCATACTTATTATTGTTATTATTTATTTTTTAAAAGTTAAATTAAATTTAAAAATGTGTTTAATTTAATTATTACTACTAGTAATAGTTGATATATCATCTGATCAACAATCATCCATTAAGTACCAACCATGTGCCTAGCACTGTGCCAGATGTAGTGCTATAGATGTAAATAAAACAGGCCTGCTGGGGTCAGGAGTAGGCGGGGGGGGGGGGGGGCAAGATATTAGTAGCATTCTCCCCCTCCTCTCTGCCTCTGTTTCTTTCTGCCTCTCTGTCTCTGTGTGTGTCTCTCTCTGTCTCTCCCCTCTATCCTTCCTCTCTGTCTCTCCCTCCTTCTCTCCTCTCCTCTTTTCTCTCTCTACCTCTTTAATCCTTAAGAAACTGCTTTGAATAACTCAGTAACTACTTCCAACGTCCTTCTCGGTTTGTATGCCCACAGTATAATAAGCTCATTGGGGTCAGAGATTCCTCCATTTCTGTCCCACGGGGTGAACCCAGGGGCAGCCCTCCATGCCCAGGCCTCTCTGGCCCACCCCCCCCACCCCCCAACTTCCTCTATGAGGTCTGAGCATTTTACCCTGGAATTCCCTCCCTGGAAACCCCCTCCACCCACCCGATAGCTCCCCACAGAACCTCCCTTCACAGAGGGCACCCAAGCCTGCCAGCTCTCATTCCCCTCCAGACTTTCTCTCCCATGGCCCTTCCCCGTTTCAGCCTTCTTTTAAGGGTTATCTGCCCTTACTGGAATGTAAGCCCCTTCAGGGCAGGGGCTGTCTTTCTTTCTACTTGTGTTTGTACCCATAGTGCCAGGCACATAGTAGGTACTTAATAAATGCCCGTTGACTGCCTGAAAGAAAAGTCATAAAGGACAAGCTGGCATGAGTGAGTTTAGGGTTGGGTTTCTGGAGGGAAAGATCACATCACTAATGTCAGAGATCCATTGAAGAGTAAGAACCAAACCCAGGAGGGGTACTAATGAACCCATTTTACAGATGAGGAAAGTGAGTCCTGTCCAGGATCACCCAGTCAGTAAGGGTTAGAGTCAGGATAAGAAATAAGGATGATGATGATGATAGTGATGAAGATGATGATGAAGAAGGAGACACAGTGAAAAGCATGGCAGATTTGAAGTCCCAGGACCTGGGTTCAACTCTCAGTCTTAACTGTTTGCTTCCCCTCTGGGGCCTGTTTCCTCCTCTCTAAAGTGACAGGGTTCGGTCTCAATCTAAGGTCCTACAAGCATAGGCCTTAACCTTCCTGGGCCTCAGTTTCTTTTTCTGTAAAATGAGAGGGTTCTGAGATCTCTCCCAGCTCTGCATCTCTGGTCCTCGGAGGCTCTTTCTGTACATTATAACACATGGGGAACCCTCTGACAAGGGGGTTGTCTTTTCCATGACTGGCCCATGGTCACACTGCTACCACCAGAGGCAAGATTCAAACTCAGGCCTCTCCTGACTTCCAGTCTGTCCCCTGCTGCCTCCCCAAAGATCAAACACCCCATCATGGTCCTTAACTCTCCGTGGGGGTATAAAGCCCTTCTGTCCCAGAGCCCCAAGAACACAAGGACAGCTTTGGGGGAGGAGAGGCAAAGTGAAAGGGAGGGCTGACTGTCTTCTCCAGGTCTTTATCTTAACGGCAGTTTAGACAAGAGGTCTGAGTTCAGGGAGGAAGACGCTGAGGCCAGAAAACAGCTCCAGGAATGAAGCAGTGTCTCCACGAAACCCCAAAATCTCAGAGGTCCAGGGGGGTGTCATCTAGTCTGACCTGACCAGACCAAGAATCAATGAACATTCATTAAGCCCCTAGACAGCATGGAGAAGCTTACATTCTAAGCCCTCTACACTTGGTTTTCATTTGTCATGCGTCCTGGACCCCCCGGCCTTCTGGTGAAACCCAATGAGCCCCCCTCCCCCCATCGGCTTCTCAGTTTTCTCCTTGAGATTTCATAGTCTCTTCCTCTTAATTCAATCATTTATAAAGCAGCTAGACTGTGTCAAGTGCTGAGGCTACAAAGACCATAAAAGGGGGGGGGTCCCCTGCCCTCTAGAAGCTTACATTTTAATGGGGGTGGGGGGCAGGGAGAGGTTCACCCCGTCTAGAGATGAGTGAATACAAAGTGAACACAAAGTAATAATTTCAGTATTTCCCGAGGGACAGGGCTAATAACTGGGGAGAAAAGGGGGGAAGAGGGGTCAGAAATTAGGAAAGGTACCTGAGCTGTGTCGATAGAAAACTAAAAACACCCAGTTTAGCAGCTGAATTCTGCCCCAGCCTCAACGGCAAAGAAAAGCTGCACCCAGATTGATCCAACAGGGCCAGGATTCAACAAAGCAGCCCAGAAGCCCTCTGCCCCAGGCACCCAGAGACCCCTGGGCCCAGTGCCCAAGGGGTAGCCAGAGCCAGCCCTCTCCCCTGCCTTGCTACTGACCAGAAGGGTTGAGTGCTCACAGGCCTGAGACATCCTGAAATCCACCATCAGGAGGGCTGAGCTCAGCTTCAGCTCCAAGCAGGGCTTCCATCAAAAAAGAAAAGTCTCACCCCAAGTTTGATGTCTCTGTAGATTTGGGGCTCCCCCTTTTTCTCCCACCCATGGGAAAGTATATTGAAGGTTCAGTTCCCCACAGGGTGCAGGGACCCCAAATTAGCCAGCAAGAGATAAGCTATCCAGGGAGACAGGAGAAAATTGACTCTAACTTCCTCTTGGACACAGGGACCAAAACAAGGCAAGATGAGTTTGGAACATTTCCACTTCTCATCCACCACCGGGCTCAGGCTTCAGGGGAAAAGAGGGGACAGGCACTGGAGGCAGAGGGGGGAGCCCCCAGCTGCTGGTCCCCCACGAGGTTCCGGGTGCTTGCCGCAGGTGGGGCAGGGGATGACCGGACCCCCACCTCCTCCCCTGCTCACACACAGGGAGGCTCAAAGATTGTTAGAGCTGAGCATTGCCTCTGAGACCCTCGAATCCAAACTCCCTCATCTAACAGGGGAAACTGAGGCCCTTGCCCTCCGAGAAGCTAAGCTTCTCGGGGGGCAGGTCCACTATGTTTCTGTTACTAGCCCCAGCGGCAAAGCCTGCCCACGTTAACGAGTGTTGGGGATCGAGGGGAGACAGGAAGGGGAGCCTTGGGGGCTGGTAAGAAGGGACAGCCCCAGAAAGCAGGACCCGGCAGAACCCTTTAAACCCGTGGTGTCCAGTTTAAATGGAAAGGGCCCAGCAGGGCACAGGATGACTTAGAAAACCATGGATTGGCACCGTCCACGTCGGACTGTATGTTTGTTATTTATTCTGTTAGTGGCTTTAAAGGATGATGGAGAGAGGACGCTTCAGGGGGGCAGAGGAAGCCCTTGAAAGGGGGCGTTCTCTAGGGGGCACTGGGGGGAGAGTTCTTAAAAGAGGGGGTCTTTTTACGGGGCAAAGGAGACTTTTTAAGGGGAGGGCTCTGCCCGAGCCAAAGGGACTTTCTTAAAGGGAAGAGGCTCTTTAAAAGGGGGGGGTTATCACTTTCCTGGGGGAGGGGAAATTCTTAAGGGGGGAGGGATTGTCTTAAAGAGGGTGTGTCTCGGGGGGGGCGCTTCTTAAAGGAGAAGTCTTCTCTTTCCAGGGCAAGGGGACTTCTTAAGGGTGGGGGGAGGGTCTCTTTACAGGGATAGCCGGGCTCCTTAAAGAGAAGTAGTTCTTTGCAGGGAAGGGAGACGGCTCCAGGGGGAGGGGATTTCTTAAAGTGCGGGAAGGGGCTGTCTCTTTCCAGGGGAGGAGGCTGTCTCTTTCCGAGGAGGGGGCTGTCTCGGTCTCACTCCCTTCTCGGGCCCGGGGCTGGAGGAGGGCGGCGCAATCCGAAGGGCTGCCTGGCGGCGGCGGCGGTAGCGGCGGCAGCACTCACCGAAGAAGGGCGGCAGGTGAGCCACGGCGTCCAGGAAGGGTCCCGTCTCGATCTGCTTGTCCGCCGGCAGCGGCTTCAGCAGATGCTCGGCCAGCAGCGCCATGGCCGGGTCGGCGTTCGGTCCCAGCAGGAAGGCGGCAGTGGCCGCTGGGTCGCGCCCCGCCGCGGCGCCAGGACCCGCTCCTGCTCCTGCGCCTGCGCACGCGCCGCCTCCTCCCCCGCACCCCGCGGCGTCCTCGCCGCCATCGCCGTGGCCGCCTGCCTCCGCCACCGCGCCGCTGTCTGGATTCGCGCCGCCGAGCCCAGCCTCTAGCCGAGCCAGCAGCGCCGCCCGCCGGCCTCGGGCCTAGCCTAAGCTACCCGATGTGCCCCGCCCCCGGCACGGCTCCACCAATGGCGAGGCCGCGCTCCACCAGGCCCGCCCAATCCCCGCCCTGGGCACGCCCCCAGCCCCAGCCGCGGCGCTCATTGGCTGGGCCCGGGGCCGAGCGCTCCCGCCCCGCCGACGTTCGGGGTGGGGGGGGAATGCGGGGTGGGTGGGACAGGGGAGGACACCGCCCCATCAGCCCAGCCCCATAGGGGCGCGGAGCCCGGGGCGAGGGCAGGCTCAGCTACCCCGCAGCCTCGCCCAAGCGGAACCGGCCCAGCCTGGGTCAGTGCTCCCTAGACTACAGCCAGCCGACCTTCTCTGCATTGATCTCTTAAGAGCCAAGCACGGTGCTAAGCGCTCTCCATTAGCCAGCCAACCTGCATTTATTAAGTGCCTACTATATACCAGGCGGACCAGTGGTCCAGCTTATGCTCGCCTACTTTCGTTACTCAGTTCAACTGAGCCTACCATGAGACAGTTCTAATTGTTAGTCAACAAGCCATTACTAAGTCCTGGGGATGCAAAGCCAAAAACACAGGTTTCTGGCCCTCCCAGAGCTTACGTGGGCCCACTTAACGTCTAACGTGGGAGACAACATGCAAACAGCGGTAATAATGTTGTTGGTCAGTCGTGTCTGATTCTCTGCCACCCCATTTGGGGTTTTCTTGGCAGAGATACTGGAGGGGTTTGCCCTTTCCTTCTCCGTCCCCTTTTACAGATGAGGAAACTGAGGCAAGCAGGGTTAGGTGACTTGCCCAGGGTCACACAGCTAGTAAATGTCTGAGGTCAGATTTGAACTCAGGAAGATGAGTCTTCCTGACTCCAGGTCCAGCACTCTATCCACCGTACCACCTAACTGCCACCACTGCTGTCATCATCATCATCATCAAGATGCTGCTATAATAATAGCATTTGTGTCTTGCTCTATTATTTGCCAAGCGTTCCATAAGTATTCTCACATTTGATCTTCAACAGCCCTGGGAGGGAGGTGCCATTTTCCCCATTTTACAGATGAGGAAATGGGCAGGCAAAGGTTAAGTGACTTGCCAAGGGTCATACAGCTAGTGTGAATGGATTGGAACTCAGGTCTATCCTGGCTCCAGGTCCAGGGCTCTACCCATTGTGCCACCCAACTGCCTTCTATGTATAGAAGATATCTATCCATATATATGGCAATATATGCAGATATACTAAAAATTGCCTAATAATTTATATTTATAATAATATATGTAGTAAATTATTAGGAATTTTTAAGTGGATCAATCACTCAACCTGCATTTATTAAGTACTGTCTTTGTGCTAGGTCCTGGGCATACAAAAATAAAATCAGTTCTTCCCAAAAAGTTTAATCCTTCTTTCCAAAAGACCATCCTACAAATCCCTGAAGACACCTTCCACACGCTGCCTAAGGCTTCCCTTCCATCCATCCATCCATCCATCCACTCATCTGTCCATCCATCTGTCCATCCATCCACTCATCCATCCATCCATCCATCTTCTGACAAAGACAAGAAGAAAACAGTCCCTGGTCCTCTTCTCTCTCTACACTCTCTCACTTCCTGACCTCATCAGTTCCTAGGGCAGGGGTGGGGAACCTGCAGCTTCAAGGCCACATGTGATCTTCTAGGTCCTTGGGTTCGGCCTTTTGACTAAGTCCATGTTTTCCAGAACAAATCCTTTTATTAAGGGAATTTGTTCTGTGAAGTTTGGATTCAGTCAAAGAGCCGCACTTAAGGGCCTAGAGGGCCACATGTGACCTCAAGGCTGCAGGTTCCCCACCCCTGCTTAGGGTTTCTTATAACATTTGTATGCAGGCAGTTCCCAGGTCTATACACCCAGCCCTAGTCTTTTCTCCCAACCTCCCGAATCTCCAGTTGCCTTTTGGATATGGAGAACCAGCCGTCCCGGAGGCATCTCAACCTTAACGTGTTCCAAACAGAACTTATTATCTTCATCCTGCCTCCTCTCAATGCCCTGTGGCTGTCAAGGACACCACCATCCTTCCAGTTATCCGGGTGCAGGAGCAAGGTGCCATCTTCCACTCTTTCACCCTATGGATCCAATCTGTTGTCTCTCACATCTTCCTCTTTCTCTCCACTCATCCGGCCTCCTCACCACTTTTCCAGACTCCAGCAATAACCTCCAAATGGTCGCCACCCCAATTCACAGCCTCCAAAGTGGACCACGTTACTCCCTTCCTCAATAAATGTCAGTGGTTCTCTCCCACTGCCGGGACCAAATATAAATGCCTCTACTTGACATTTAAACCTTCTTATGCCTTCCTTCCCCTTACGCTGTTGTAATCCGGTCACTGTGGTTTACTTGCTGGTTGTCTGCGTGACTTTCCATTTCCTACCTTCGTGCCTTTGCATTGCACTCCCTCTTTGCCTCCTGGGTCAGAATCTCTGGCCTCAAGTGCCACCTTATGCCTAAAGCCTCTCCTGATGCCCCCAGTCACTTTATGTCAAGTCAATAAGGACTTATTATGTGTTTTCTTTGTGCCAGGAACTGTGCTGGGTACTAGGGATTCAAAAAAAGGCGAATAAATACATTGACCTTGTTCTCTAGAAGCTCTTAGTCTAGGAATGATAGCATGTAAGCATTTAGGAGGTTATACTCCCTCTTGGAACTCTCCTGTATTCATTTTGTACATATCCTGGATAGATTGATGTAGAGGAAGGTGATTTGGCCATCCTGGGGAGCCGGAGCTCCTCTGTACACTTCCAAAAATCACAAGCTCTCCAAAGACATGGTGACTCATCATTCTGGCCTTTGGGGAAAGATGAGCTTTCTTGCCATGTGGTGTCCCAGAACTGGAAGGACTTCTCTATTTAGGACTACGTGGCAAATGGCCCTCACCTCCTGCCCCACCATCACTCCAAAGTAGCAATAGTCTGGCTTTGACTCTCTTGTATGGCATATGATGGACTCTTTGTCTAGAGACTGTCTAGGAGGGGGTCAAGGGAATGAGCTGTGCTCTTGCCCCCACCCAGCTGCCATTCCCATGTGGAGCAGAGACACAACTAGGTGACCTCACACCTGGACCCTGAGTACCTTTTCTGCCTTTCTGAGTAGATGATTGAACACCAGCCTCAAGATGAACATGTGCAGTAATGCATTGTTGATGGAGTTGTGAACTAATCCAACTATTCTAGAATAGTTGCAACTAGAATAATTTGCAACTATGCCCAAAGGCCTATAAAACTATGCATACCCTTTGACCAGGTCTATATCCCAAAGAGATTTTTTTAAAAGGGGAGAAAGGAACTGTGTGTACAAAAATATTTATAGCAGCTCTTTTTGTGGTGGTAAAGAATTGAAAATTCATGGTATGCCCATTATTGGGGAATGGTTGAACAAGTTGTAGTATATGGCTGTGATGCACTACTATTATGCTATAAGAAATGATGAGGGTAATGGTTTCAGAGAAACCTGGAAAGACTTATGTGAACTGATGTGAAGTGAACAGAATTAGGAGAACATGGTGCACAGTAACAGCAATAATGTATAATGATCAACTGGGAATGACTTAGCCATTCTCAGCAATGCAACAATCCAAGATAATTCTGAGGGATGTATGGATGAAAATGTTATCTGCCTCCAAAAGAACTGATGGAGTCTGAATGCAGATTGAAGCATACTTTTTCACTTTATTTTTCTCTTGGGTTTTTTTCTTTGCTTTGTGTTTTCTTTCACTACGTGACTGATATGGAAATATGTTTTACATGACTCCACATATATAATCCATATCAAGTTGCTTGCCTTCTCAATGAGGAAGGAGGGAAAGCAGGGAGATAATTTGGAACTCAAAATTTAAAAAGAAACTAATGTTAAAAAGTTTTTCTATGTCATTGGAAAAAGTAAAATATTTAGAACTGGAAAAAAAAAAAAGATGGACATATCCAGGGTTGACCTCGTGAGTTCCAAAGGTCCAGAGGAACAGTGTCTAATGGGAGGAGCAAAAGGTTGCAGCAAATGTTGGAGGAGCCATTGATGGTGGAAAGGACTGCGCAAGAAGGTAGAGGAGATTCTGAGTTGGACTAGAAGGCCAGTGCAGGAAGGAGGTGAAACGTAGAAAGCTCCAACTCCTCTGTCTTCTGATGACCCTTCCAGCAGATTGGATCAATGTCATTACTGAATCCTGTTTTCAGTTGGTTGGTGTCAAACGCATCCTTGTGACCATTCTGTGTTTAGCATTCTCTTTGTGTGCAAGAATAAATTACCTGTCCCATACCCGATTCATACTGCACTCTGAGTATCTCTTTATTCCCTCCCTTTTTGGGACAACCCTAACCATAACCGAAGATACAAGTAATTCTTTCCCCAGATGCTGGTAAAGGGTAGTGGGGGAATGAATCAAAGGTTGTGAGAAAAGGAAGCCTAACCCTGACCATCAGAAGTAGGCTCCCTGGCACTGAACCCACTCCAAACCACATGCCTGGGCAGAGATCAGGGAGTGGCACAGTACTTCAGCCCCCATGGGTTTGGATTAAACTGATGTGTCACCATTTTGAATGAAAGCCTTTGATGAGAGAAACTATTTCATTTCTGTCTTAAATTTCCCTGGCTTCCTTTGATTCCCACCTAAAATCCCACCTCCTACAGGAATCCTTCTTAACCACAGTGCCTTCGCGTTAATTATTTCTTTTTTATCCTGTACAGAGCTCGCTGTGTATCCTTTTGTTTGCATATTATCTTCTCCCATTAGATCCTAAGGCCCTTAAGGGCAGGGACCATCTTTTGCCTCTTTTTGTATCCCCAGCAC